AGAAATAAGAACATTAAAGAGTGAATAACAATAAACGGGAGGTCAGCGACTGCGAACAGATTAAGATCTCGTCCGCGAGGATCGTGACGAGATTCTCGCTCGGGGTCAACTGCGTCTGGAAAGCGTTTGTGGGCGTGTATAGGTGAGTGCGGTTTAAAGAGAATCTGCCAGTGATCTCCCCGATACAGCTCACACGATCAAGGAACCGAAGAAAAGCAAGGCGTGTTGCATTGGGGTTCTGGATCACCGAAACACTTTCCATGGACCAAAGCATCAATGGCTTACAACGTGGCACTGGACCAAAACATCAATGGCTTACAGCGTGGCACTGGACCAAAACATCAATGGCTTACAGCGTGGAACTGGACCAAAACATCAATGGCTTACAGCGTGGCACTGGACCAAAACATCAATGGCTTACAGCGTGGCACTGGACCAAAACATCAATGGCTTACAGAGTGGAACTGGACCAAAACATCAATGGCTTACAGCGTGGCACAGGACCAAAACATCAATGGCTTACAGCGCGGCACTGGACCAAAACATCAATGGCTTACAGCGTGGCACTGGACCAAAACATCAATGGCTTACAGCGTGGCACCGGACCAAAAGATAGAAACAATTCATGTGTTCCCCAATGTTGTCAGAATTTATATACGATATCTGATGCCTGGTTTGTTTGCTTGATAAATGGAGGAAGAAAAAAAGTGTGTAGTTCATGTGAACTGTGGAAGCACGACCGTCCCACTCAGCTGCGTGGCTAGAGTTGCGTGGGCCCTGGGGCTAAATATAAAATTGGGCCCGGAAAATGTTATACTTTTATATGTTGGTAACTCTTTTTAGCTTCGGGCCCCAGTGTGGTGGCACCACCTGCACCCTTGTAGCTACGCCACTGGTACCACCGTGGGAAAACCAATTCTATATGTGAGTTTTGTCAAAGAAACACATATTTTAGACAGGGAGATTATTGACAGTAATAAGCCTGTTTCAAAAATCGTGCTTCAGTAAATTTATGCATACCAAGCATGCAATCAGAAAACCAAGATATGGTGGAAATGTGTGCAACGATCACGTGGTCTGTGTCGGGGGCCGTTTGACGACAAAACACTGAGAAAGAAAATCCAGAGGTAGGCGAAACTCGGAACCATGCTTCACTTGAGACTGAAGTTCGTCTCGCCGAAGTGCGCAGCGTAATGAAAGGCCGCGCTGCAAGCTCTCAAGACAGTTCAGATCCATGCTCATGGTCGATGTCGGCGCTGTCCGATCCGCGGCCCGCAGGTCGGATGCGGCCCGCGAGCTGATTTTAAATGGCCCGCCAGAGAGTGAGAAATTTTACTCTTTATTTGTGCAAATCAATATTTGTATTTTTCGAGTAGTGTAGCTTCTCACTTGATGGGCTTTAAGTTGATATCGATTTTTCTGTATATTTGAATTTTTTTTATGTTTATAGAAATTTAACAGTATAATTAAATTGAACAGTGTTAGTCTCACTAGCTTTGGCGTCGTTATCTTGTATATTCGGGTTCAGTCCTCCTTTGCTGCGTATTGTTCATTTAACCAGCCAAATCTTTAACCCTTTAACGTACGTAACACTTTCCAAAAATTCAAATAAATTGACCCCAACCCGAATCAGTTGTTCGTTCGATTTCAAAATCACGAACGATGACTCATTATTCGTTTATGACACAAGGTACAGACGCGATGCGGAAATATTCCTTTCACGAAAACTTTTCTCATCCAGGTGTAAAAACAAATCCTGATGGCATTGCTGCGCTGCACAAGGTATCTTTCCATTATCTCAGCGTTGTTCATGCAGTTCGTACCTCACTCCCGTTGTGTGTGGGTGGGTGGGTGCGTGTGTGGAGGGGGGGAGGGGGAGGGGGATATGGTTATAATGTAGTATTACTAAATGCCAACCAACAAAAGAAAACTTGTATCCATCTTTGAAATGTCAAATTTTGAGGATGAAAGAAGCGCATGCCCGATAGGATTTTCAGCGGTCCGATGGGGCGTCCTGGCGCCCCCTAAACTCGCCCCGTCCTTTCAGCGCTCCCCTGTGCTATTGCAGCGCCCCAAGGGCAGCGGTACTTGCCTACTTTGAGACCCGCGGATTTATGGTCTCAGACAGCGAACCCCCCTCCCCCAAAAACCCTAAACTCGCCCCGTCCTTTCAGCGCTCCCCTGTGCTATTGCAGCGCCCCAAGGGCAGCGGTACTTGCCTACTTTGAGACCCGCGGATTTATGGTCTCAGACAGCGAACCCCCCCCCCCCAAAAAAAAAAAAGAAATAATAATAACTGGTAACTTTCTATGGGGGTCGAAAAGCCATGTGTTATCAATGTTTGTATTCCTATATAATACATCTCACTATGTTTATATATAATCTACCTCAATATGTTTATATATAATCTATCTCACTATGTTTATATATAATCTATCTCACTATGCTTATATAATCTATCTCACTGTGTTTATATATAATCTATCTCACTATGTTTATATATATACTATCTCACTATGTTGATATATAATCTATCTCACTATGTTTATATATAATCTATCTCACTGTGTTTATATATAATCTCTCTGACCTATCTTTATACTATCCTTTTCCAAATACAACATCCTCTTTTGCTAGTCATTCTTTATTTGAAGTCCTACAGTGTTACGTTACCCAATGCTAGCGCCTCCCTCTAGTCTAGGGTGATCGCTCTTAAGTTTTTGTCATTAAATTGTTGTGTCCTTCCGTGTTTGAGTCCTACTTTCATGTCCTCCAATCGTAAAGTCCTTCTATGTTTGAATCCTACTTTCATCTCCTCCAATCGTAAAGTCCTTCTATGTTTTGAATCCTACTTTCATCTCCTCCAATCGTTAAGTCCTTCTATGTTTGAGTCCTACTTTCATCTCCTCCAATCGTAAAGTCCTTCTATGTTTGAGTCCTACTTTCATCTCCTCCAATCGTTAAGTCCTTCTATGTTTGAGTCCTACTTTCATCTCCTCCAATCGTATAGTCCGACTTAATTTGAACCCTACTTTCATCTCCTCCAATCGTTAAGTCCTTCTATGTTTGAGTCCTACTTTCATCTCCTCCAATCGTAAAGTCCTTCTATGTTTGAGTCCTACTTTCATCTCCTCCAATCGTTAAGTCCTTCTATGTTTGAGTCCTACTTTCATCTCCTCCAATCGTAAAGTCCGACTTAATTTGAATCCTACTTTCATTTCCTCCAATCGTAAAGTCCTTCTATGTTTGAGTCCTAATGCCGTTTCATCAAACACGAAGTCCCCCTAATGCGGCTTCACATATTCACGACCACGTATCTCGGGCATATCACGTGATCCTTCTCCTCCATCCTGGTGCCCTGACTTTGTCTCGTGGACTTTCCCTGAAATGATAACAAAGACCACCGGAAGTGAGTTAAGCCAAGATAAAAATCTCTTTTCATTGGCCAGGTAAACAAACACCTTGGTTCAGCAATGGCGTTCTTTGGCTCAGCAAGTTACAATGGTGGAAACACCGTAGGGAAAAGAGGGGGGGGGGGGAGGGGAGGGGGAAGGAGGAGGCAGAGACGCTTCTGTGTTGGCTAGAATGTTTAGTTTCCCGTTAGTTCCCATGTTTGCCCCATGCTTAGTAACATGTTTCGATACATGTCTGGCAACGTGCTTAGTTACATATGCTTGTCTCATGGTTGCTACATCCCCCAGTGGTGTTCTTGTTTTGTTGGAGGGTTGGAGAGTCATTTCATTATTTTTATTTTATTTTTATGGTGTGTGTGTGTGTGGGGGGGGGGTATTTTTTATATGTTGCTCTTTTTATTTTTATTTTTTATTTTTTTCTTCCACCCGTCTCAAACAATCCACATTTTTTGTCCACGTATTATTGTGTCCACCTTTTGTTTTCAAGTATTATTGTGTCCACGTTCTGTGTCCAAGTACTGTGTCCACGTATTTGTCCAAGTATCGTGTCCACGTAAGGTGATCTCGATGGTAAAAATATCTAGTGAGACTATGAAGCAGGAGCAAGCCGTTTTATGGAGAATCAACTGTTTCCCAGGCAGCGGGTCCCCCCTTTCTCCACTTTTCTCAGGGGAACGTTAAACTTACGAAATCGCTTAGACGCAAACTGCCTTTGACATTCCCGATATTTGCATTGAAGTCAGAGTAGGAACGCCTGCTTGACCCCCATCTACGGGGGATGTAGTAGGGTTCACGTCCAGCAGCGTCCATCATACAGGATGTGTGATCGGGAGACAGCAGACTCGTGTCCAAGTTTGAAGAGTGCCAGCTACTGAAATAACCTTGCGTCGACACGCCTGACCATATGCTATGTGTTAAGTATATGTCGTGGCCTGATTACTGACATTGATATTAGTATCACATTAATTGCAACCCTAGTGTTAATACGCAATTGATGCTAACTGTCCATTGGCCTCATTTCTGACTTGATATTAACTATGCATTGGTCTAATAACTGATTATATATTAACTATGCATTGGTCACTAATCTGACTTGATATTAACTATGCGTTGGTCTCATCACTGACTACCTTGGTATCACTGATGAATTGATATTAACTAAATCACAATCTGAATGTATGAATAATAGATGTAGGTCTAGGACAGCTCGGGCGTTGCCACGCCTAATGGGCTTCAGATCTTGTTGTTATTGATGTGTATCCAGATCAGATCAACGTGAGCACCTTCTAGAACAATCTCTTACGTGGCATTCCCACTATGCGATTTCATTGTTTGACTTTATCCTTGTCAGGCCTGGACAAAAGTCAGGCCTCGGGGTGCGGGAGATGGGGTGGGTTGGGGGGTGGGGGCGCTGCTAAAATCAATAGGAATTGACTTCGGTATTGATTGATTCCGATTGGAATGAGACACGCAACTCTTTTTTTTTTGTGTGTGGTCCGATCTCTAAGTGGGCGCGCAGCGTGTGTCTGGGTGAGTCTGTGGCGACAAGAAGGGTGAGCTCCTTGTACAGGTCTCGTGGTCAATATTCGTGGCACAGGTGGATTGTGAGCAGCAGTTGGAAAAGTGGTTGCATTTTCTTGTGTCGCCGATTCAAGATTCTAGATTAAAAAGATTGCCCGGATTTATCATAGTCGTTGGATCTTTTAGAGATTATAGTTATAAGGACAAGATAGATACGGTGATGAGACAAGATAGGTACTGTCATGGGACAAGATAGATACTGCGATAGGACAAGATAGATGCTGTGATAGGACCAATATATATTACAGCGATAACACCATACAAATTATACAGTAGTAGCAGCTGGACCACGGCTTAGCAAGCCTACCGAATCGCGTAGGCCTATACTCATAGCGTTGGCCCACTGGCCAATTAGTGGACCCTCGTAGCAAGCCAACCATGACCCCTGGACAACCAGAGCACAACCCCTACTGACGATGTGTGGGTAGATTTCATTTGCTTGTTGTTTGTTGTTTTTTTGTTGGTTTTTTTGTTTTGTTTTTTTTTACTTTATAGTGTAGTTAACTGAAGGTAGCGGCATACATTTTCAACATATTTGTGTTCCAAATATCCAGCCAAATAGTGTTAACGTGTCTTTCTATTGTTTCACTAAGATGCCTGCCGTGTGTGGTAGGAGCACATCACGAACTATCTAAAGCATTATGAAGACTCGGGAATGATATTTCAGTGATCGTATCTATTATGATTGCGTCGTTGCTAATATAAACGTAGTATTGCTATTATAAAGCTATTGTTGCTGTTATAAAGCTACTGTTGATGTTATAAAGCTATTGTTGCTAATACAAACATAATGTTGCTATTACAAACCTATTGATGCTGTTATAAACCTATTGTTGCTGTTATAAACCTATTGTTGCTGTTATAAACCTATTGTTGCTGTTATAAACCTATTGCTGCTGTTACAAAACTATTGCTGCTGTTATAAACCTATTGCTGCTGTTATAAACCTATTGTTGCTATTACAAACCTATTGCTGCTGTTATAAACATATTGCTGCTGTTATAAGCCTATTGTTGCTGTTTTAAACCTATTGTTGCTGTTATAAACCTATTGTTGCTATTATAAACCTATTGTTGCTAATACAATCCTAGTGTTGCTAATAGAAACCTGTTGTTGCTAATACACACCTACTGTGCTTAATAAAAACATATAGTTTCCAATGCAAACCTAGTGTTGCTAATACAAACCTATCGTTGTTATTATAAACCTATTGTTACTTATACAAACCTGTTTTTGCTAATATAAACCTATTGTTGCTAACGTAGTTTTGCTAATATAAACCTATTGTTGCTAACATATTGTTTCTAATAGAAACCTATTGTTGCTAATACAAACATGTTGTTGCTAATAGAAACCTATTGTTGCTAACGTATTGTTGCTAAGAGAAACCTATTGTTGCTAAGAGTAACCTATTGTCGCTAATAGAAACGTTTTGACACATCGGTATGCACGAAGTCATTTTTAGCGAAGTACAATTTTCATCAGAACACTAAAAACCAATTGATAAGGCAGACGAAACATGTGTTTTACATTGGGTAATTGTAGGGCGTAATACCACTACGTTCATACATTGTATTCCAATGAACTTGTAGAGTGCCGAGGTAAGGTATTGAATCAAAGCTACACTCAACGACACTGTCTGATTAGTTCGGGAAATTGGGAACACCAGTCAACGGAAAACTTGACCCAAAAAAATGCAACACAAAGCAAAGAATGTGTCGGCTAAAAGCCTCCTTCGGAAACTAATCAAAATAAATGCTTAAAATAAAAATCAAATCAACTTACGATAATTGAAAGCCATTGATCGGTTTGTAATTTTCATCTCTCCGACAAGACTCCGCCGACTACCGACTACCCGCTCCGGAAGAAAAGTACATTTAATTTTTCCTGATTTAATTGTTTGCCGAAGAATACATCTTGTCGACTCGGCTATTGATTTAACGTGTCTTTTATCAAGTTTCCCCTTCACGTGTGTTATTTATATCGTGACGGCAGCCCCCCCTGCCATAGGTTTTTCCCGAAAAACCCACCAAAAAAAAAAAAAAAAAAAAAATAAGGTAAAGAGAAAGACAATGTTCAGATTGGTTGCCATTGTTTGTTGAACTTTGGCATTTTTTTATTTTTTTTTTACCAATTTTTTTTTTTTAATGTGTTTTATTTTCTTTTAACATGATTGGATTAATCAATATTTGGATTAGTCATCGCGGCCATGGGTTTTGGGGTCGGGATTTGTTGGTGGGAGGGAGGGGGGAGAGAGGGGTTGTGGTGGTTTGGGGTGCTTAGTCACCTCTGAAGGGACTTAAATTCAAGAGAAGCCATCGGAAAGATACGGACGGTAAGATGGCTGCTTCAGTCTTTAAATAAATGTTGACAAAATACACACACACACACACACACTAAAACATGTTTCTCAATGAAGTCTTTTAATTAACCTTATATTATTGAAATGTCTTCAATATTTATTTTTTCTTTTGTAAAAATCATTTCAAAATGTCAACATTTGTGTGTGTGGTAAAATCACTTTAAAATCTCACTTCAAATGAATCTCAATCAATGTTCCCATATTTCACGAACAATGAAATGTTAAGTTTGGTGGATGAAATGAGTTCGAGGGTTTTCTTTCGTACAGGTGAAGATACCAAGCGCTCTACTTCTGTTCACGTGATTGATATGTTACGTTACAAAACAGAACCAATGGGTCATCCTGCAACCTCGACCTCGCCGAGTCGACTGATGGGCATCATGTGGATGACCTTGTTCGTTCTGGTAGAATTTACAGGTAGGTTAGTACTGTTTGAGGCAGGCTGTCACAGCTGTGTCTAAATTCTGTAGCTCTTACGAATTGATCGGTAGAATTTACAGGTAGGTTAGTACTGTCTGAGGCAGGCTGTCACAGCTGTGTCTAAATTCTGTAGCACTTATGAATTGATTGGTAGAATTTACAGGTAGGTTACTGTTGTCTGAGGCAGGCTGTCACAGCTGTGTCTAATTCTGTAGCACTTACGAATTGATTCGTAGAATTTACAGGTAGGTTAGTGTTGTCTGAGGCAGGCTGTCACAGCTGTGTCTAAATTCTGTAGCACTTACGACTTGTTTGACCAAGTTTCGCCCCCCCCCCTTTTTTTTTCACAAGTAACTTGTGACTCAAAAAATAGATACTAATAAAATAATGTGTGACTTATAAAATAAATGAAAGATTGATGCATTTTTTTTTATAAATATCTAAACCTTTTAAAGTTAATGAATCCTCTTGTCTTATAATCAATATTCTTGGCACCCCCCCCCCGTGGAGTAGCTAGCGGTGGTGCCACCCGCGACAAGATTTTTTACAAGATCCTTCAACGAAAAAAAAAATACATTTGGTCGATAATGCCGCCCCAACTTATAAAGAAAAAGTTACGCCCCGGGTGGATAGTCCCCATGCACCCCTTCTTGTGCTACACCCCCCCCCCCTTTTTAAATGTCACTTAACCCCCCCCCCCCCCCCCCCCCNGTTGAGGTCTGTGGCACATTAAGCATTTGGCATTTGTGCCATGCAAAAATGACTTCAAAAAAATACAAATGAAGTTTAAAATGTTCGGAGTTTGAATTTTGTATTTTGCGGTTGTCTAAAATGCTCTTGTGTGTCTAAAAAAAAAAAAAAAAAAAAGTCAAAATAATTTTTGTTGGAAGTAATCATAAATCGAAGCGATAGAATGGTCATTCATAAATTACAGAATGGTCAACATAGTAGGATTTAAGCGATGCATTTATTTTGTGAAGATTCACGTCGCCTTTCAGCATTTAGACTATGCACAATTCTAGATCAGCAATAGTTCGCTAGCACTACTTTGTCTGCTCCATCACTTTGTTTAATTTCATTTTAGAAATAGTTTTGTTACACATATGAGATAATGTTTTAAAGCAGAAAAAAAAGTTGTGCTTTTAATTTGTAAAGCAGCAGAATTTTTTTGAAAAAAACGTGGGTTTTTTGTTTTTTTTTTCGTTCTTTTTTTCCTTATGTTTTATTTTAGGCAGGCACTATATGTATTATAAATTATTTAATAATATAATCCTGTAAGTTAATCATAAATACACGCTAGTTAATCATATTATCATGTACGTTAATAATATAATTTTGTAAGTTATTCATTTATCATGTAAGTTAATAATATAATACTGTAAGTTAATCATTTAAATTAAAAATACAAATCCTGTAAGTTATCATATAATCATGTACGCTAATCATATAATCATGTAGGTTAATCATATAATCATGTGAGCTAATAATATAATACTGTAAGTTTATCAATAAATCATGTAATTTAAAAATATAATCCTGTAAGTTAATCATAAAATCATGTAAGTTAAAAATATATTCCTGTTAGTTAATCATATAATTCTGTAAGTTAAATCATATAATCCTGTAAGTTAAATCATATAATCCTGTAAGTAAATCCTATAATCCTGCAAGTTAATCATATGATCCTTTAAGTTAATCATACTTTACATTTTATGGGTTGAAACTGTTGTACACGTTACACACGTTGGTTGAAGGTTTAACATATTGTTTTGGTGTGGTAGGCAGGCGGCAATGAGAAACGGTTTTATGGTAGTATTGGTAGGCAAGAGGTTACAAATTATGCCTTTAAATATATGTTACAGGAATTCTGGGAAATATCAATATTGATTGACTAAGGTCGATACCACTATTTTAGTACAGGCAACCGAAGCCATTTCGTATCAATACATCAATTTAATCAAGTGCATGTGGGGCGCACGTCAGGGAAGGGAGTCCGGCCTGCATGTACTTGACTCTTTCCCACGTTATAGTTTACTGACTGGATGTGTGCCATGCTGACTTGATGTGTGCCATGCTGACTTGATGTGTGCCATGCTGACTTGATGTGTCATACGGCAATCATGTATGCCATACTAAAAGAGCCCGTTTCATTCTGAACTCGTACATGTTACAATGACCTCGTGAGTGCAAGACGACCTTAAATGTGTCCTACTGATCAGGGGCGTCTACACGCGTGAGAAAAGAAGCAGCGGCTGCGAGAGGAGGGGGGGATATAATCCTTCCAATCTGAGTTAGGGGTTATAATCATTCAAATTTGAGTTGGGTGGTATAATCCTTCCAATTTGAATTTGGGGATATAATCCGTCCAATTTGAGTTAGGAGAAGGGGTATAACCCTGTCTCCTGTTGGATTTATCCATGCAAAAGAAAAAATAATAATAAGGAAACGGAACAAATTTCATAATTTTTAAATTTAATTATTTATTTTTTTTCATATAAGGGGATATTATTAGGAGAAAAAAATATGGCTTAGGAACTGAAATGAACTCCTCTTAGAAATGTACAGGGGGTTGAGGAAAACCTAAAAAGGGGATAACATGAAAGTGGATGTTTCAGCTAAGAAGATGTTTGGCAGCAACAGCACAGAGACATACCACTTAGGGTGTTTATGGCAGAAGCATATGGGCAGCATCAATACAGAGACAAACAACTTAGGGTGTTGATGGCAGAATCATATGGGCAGCATCAATACAGAGATTAACAACTTAGGGTGTTGATGGCAGAATCATATGGGCAGCATCAATACAGAGCAGACAACTTAGGATGTTGATGGCAGAATCATATGGGCAGCATCAATACAGAGACATACCACTTAGGGTGTTTATGGCAGAAGCATATGGGCAGCATCAATACAGAGCAGACAACTTAGGATGTTGATGGCAGAATCATATGGGCAGCATCAATACAGAGCAGACAACTTAGGATGTTGATGGCAGAATCATATGGGCTGCATCAATACAGAGCAGACAACTTAGGATGTTGGTGGCAGAATCATATGGGCAGCATCAATACAGAGCAGACAACTTAGGATGTTGATGGCAGAATCATATGGGCAGCATCAATACAGAGCAGACAACTTAGGGTGTTGATGGCAGATTCATATTGCCCTCTGGTGTGAAGTAAAACGACAACAGTTTGCAGATTGACAAACAAACCTTCGGTAGATGTTAGTTTTAGGGCCTTGCTGGTGAGTCCCAGTATTTTGTTCAGGCATCCCTCCGGAGAAAGTCACTTTCCCTCTTCCCCCCCCCCCACCTCTTTTTTGAGAAAAATGTGTAAAACAAGAAGATGAAAATATATTTTATAAAAAAGGTCCAAATTCTCATGTAAATGACACTTTTAACAAGAAAAGTAACAGTTACCTTCAACTGATTGCAATTAGTGGAACCTGTTAAAATATCGTTGCGCTCGATATATTGGATGATCCGTTTATGTAAGGCGTATGTTATTAGAGCCATACCGTATTCGATTATTAATATCGTGCTGTTTTCTAAAACTGACCAATTCTGATAATAAGCCGAATCTTACTTCCCGTGGTTCGTTTATTTCGACATTTTTGTATTTATTTTTATTTTTTGCGACTTCAAATGAAGACTTTATTACCACTGTATTAAACTACCTTAACATTAATAATAAGTTCTGTAATTGAAATATAGTTCTTACAAAGTATGAAACACATACAATCTGTTTTCAAATTATACTTCATCCTATAAGCATGACTTTTAAAGTAGGGACAGATGATAATGTGAAATATAATTTGTATGGTGGCATTGTGCTTAAAGAGTATATCATTAACATAATATAAATGTATGTTGGGCTAAAAAAAAATTTAAAAATTAAACTTTGACAAAAATGCACACTTTAACGGGCGGTTACAAACCAGGCACATTTCAACAGTTATTAATTAAATCGAACTCGTTTTATCGTTAATTGTTCTACCTTTGTAACACAGATTCCTGAATGACAGAGTTGGTGGTTTTTTTGTTTTTTTTTTGTTTTTTTTTAAAAATTACTTAGGCTATATTTATTCAGTTCCCAACTGCATTTCTTTTTTAAATATCAGAATAGACCATCTGTCCCACCTATTGGCACGAATTGGTTATATATTTAATTTATTTACATTGCAACTTGTAGAAAGCTTTAAAAAAAAGCAATGTATCTGTGAATTACCATTTCGATTATTAGGGTAGTAGGTCAAGCAACAACAAAATTTTCTAATGGTCAATTTAAAAGTAAAATGTATGAATTTGGTAGTAGACAAAAATATGTAAAGTACATTCGAAGAGGCAATTTGTAATTTATCTGAAGAAAGTTTACAGTAATATGAAAAAAAATAAAATCGATCAACTGAATATTGGGAAATTAGTATTTAATTTTTAAACGATTTCCCTCAGTTAAAATCTGACATGAATAAATATATGTCTTTTGTAGACACCCCATGTCTTCTTGACATAATTATGCGGTTCATATTCGATTTATACAAATGAAATATTTATTTTTAAAAATACATAAAAAATATATAGTCCTTTCTACAATTTTCTTTCCCTTCACTCTAGTAAAACCTTGAAATATTTAGAAAAGGTAATTATTATAAGTATGTTGTTGGGTTTCTCTATTAAACCATTTGCGTTCACCGTGTAAAGTGACGTCACCAGTGCTTTTTGAGACGGAAACCTCTTTGAAAAGGAATTTTATTATTTTTTTAAATTTATTTTTTAATTAAGTAGTTTAGCCCAAAAAATATATTATTTTTTAAAATAATTGCTTTTTAATGATCTATATATATATATATATATATATATATAATACGCCAGAAAAAACTAGGGCAAGAAGACGATGACGCAGGGTATATATAGATACGCCAGAGCAAGCAAGACGCAGGCAAACCCTCCCTTACCTTGCCTGTCCATCGTTGGTCTCGAGACATGTGCACTGCGGTGGAGCTAGCGCCCCTCACCCTCCTGCACCACCCTCACTTGCCAGCCATGCGCACACCCCAACAAGCTCGCGGCGTATGCTAAGCCGCGGGTCGGCTATTTGTATATAGTTCATGGGCGTGAAATAAAAAGTGTGTAATGACGTATCATGAAAAAGTGGGGGGGGGGAGGGGGTGGAAAGGGTGTAGCAAAATTGGCATTCTTAAATGTGCGTAACTTGAGTTCACCTTTTTGTCAAGTAACTTTAGTAGATGGGAAGTTCACGCAACGTCATGATTATGTCTCTTTTGATAATATTTTTATGTACAACGTGGTGAGCCATGCCCTAGGCTGGGATACCGCGCTATAAAAGACCACTAATTTTTATTATTATTATTATTATTATTATTATTATTATTATTATTGCTGTGGCCAATGTTTGGCGGGCCATATCTAGTAACACTACATTCGTATAACACAACCAGGTCAAGCCGAGCCGTCGCTGGGCGTTTTGCGGGCCCCCTTGCAATTTTTAGGACAGGACGTTGGTGAATCTAAGCTTGCGGGCAAATGATTACGCCCAAAAGCTGGAGGGAATCCATTTTACGTACGGCCATCGGTGCCCATAATCCCTCTCCCGGAAGCTTTAAAAATTCTCCCCCCTCCCCCCTTGTCTGATAGCCTTGTAGAAACACTGAATTCGGGAATTTTAGTTTTCGCGGCTCCTGGAACACATGTTTACATAATTTCAAGTGCAGTTACAGGGCATTTTACATTGTGCGTTGTTGAACTCAGAATTACATGGTGATAAGAGCTCATTCTTACAGACTAGTTCTAAAGCCCGCCAGACAATGGCGGCCGCCGTGCGTGAACTTCCCGTCTGCTAAGGCTACTCGAACAAAATTATGCATTTAAATAACGAACTTCAGAAGAATCCCAAATGGTGCTACCGCTACCTCCTCCCCCCCCCCCCCACCCCCCCCCCCCGGGCCAACCCCCCGCTGATATATATTACTATTCAAATGTCCATTCAACATATTTAAATTGGAGGATTTCACTAAAGCAAAAGAAAAGATTGCGCACGTGCGGCATTTTAAAGAATGGCATTTAACCATGTTATAGAAAATTTAATTTTGCGCTCTATTGACCTCACCATTAAACACTACACTTTCTTTCACACCAACAAAAGTATATGCAAAAAGATGTGTACTCGAAAATGCATTCATTTTATTTACAACTGTATAAACATTGTCGGAACTAAAACTTTTACCAGCAATTTATAACGTCAGGTACCAATCAGTCGTGTCATGACAGCGCCAAGTGTCATTATGCATGTGTCATTAATCATGCCACATTTTTGTGTGTCAATAATAATCTTGTCATGATTACGTGTCATAATCCCGTGCCAATAATCATACCGGGATTCCGTTTAATCACTCAACTCTGTCAGATTTCATTTTACTCAATCACGTGGTTACTTCCAATCATAAATCGTGAAACTGTTCCGTGACATTAATCATGTCATGATTGCGGTTTCATTAATCATTCCATTAATCCCGGGACATTGTTCTAATTAAACACAAAAAAAATTCCGAGACCTCACATCCCGGACAACGTCAATGGACTGACGCCGGCTGCGGTAGGAACCAGTGTGAAAAACAACTACTAACACAACAATCAGATTATTGATTATTTCTGTTCATTGACCTCGACTCGTTGTGCCTGGGTCGGGGTGCCAGAACACCCCAACGGGGCGTGAGGAGGTGGGGGGAGTGGCTGGATTTAATACACAAGCTTAATGGCGTTTGATGTTTTGTGATTGGAATGTTTTTGGTGGCTGGTTGTGACGTCAGGGCAGGTGTGGTGGGGGGGGGGGNTTACAGGGGAGGGTTGATGTCGTATATTACAGGGGAGGGTTGATATCGTATGTTACAGGGGGAGGGTTGATATCGTATGTTACAGGGGAGGGTTGATATCGTATGTTACAGGGGAGGGTTGATGTCGTATATTACAGGGGAGGGTTGATATCGTATGTTACATGGGGAGGGTTGATATCGTATGTTACAGGGGAGGGTTGATATCGTATGTTACAGGGGAGTTGTTGATATCGTATGTTACAGGGGAGGGTTGATATCGTATGTTACAGGGGAGGGTTAACATGGTGGGCCAAGGATAGTTGCCTTGTCTTTAAACATAATTAATTTATTTTTAGAGTTGCAGTTACCTTGTACCCCTAGTCACTAGTAGTAGGACCTAGTAGAATGGACCTTGTAGTAGGATCTTGTAGTAGGAACTTGTAGAACTTTGTAGTAGACCTTGTAGTAGGATCTTGTAGAGGGATCTTGTAGAAGGACCTTGTCAAAGGACATTTTAATAGGACTTTGTAGCAGGAACTTGTAGTAGGATCTTGTAATAGGACCTTGTAGCAGGAACTTGTAGTAGAACCTTGTAGAAAAACCTAGGTAAATATTGCTTGCTAATTACATCAGAAATTCTGTGATGGATTGGTTGATGTTTTCGTTGGAAAAGAATGATTGCCTAGAATGATGGCCTTGAACGATTGCCTTGACGGGAGATAATTTCTTAACCCATTCCTGTCTCTTTATTGTTGCAGGTTCGGCCGACGGGACCACAACACAATCAACAGATGCCAAGGCAAAGGTAAGATGCCGGCTCGAAGTGATTGGTTTAAACCTGTATGATGTTTTATTTAGGGCCTAATCAATTGGTCCTCAACCCCCCCCCCCACACACACCCACCGACACCCACGCACACACGTTTTGCGGAGCTGGTGTAAAGGGGGGGGGGGGGGGGCGTACAGCGGGAAGATAACAGGAGGGGGGGATAAAAAGAAAAAATGGGGGGATTGGTTTAAACCTGTATGATGTTTTATTTAGGGCCCAATCAATTGGGCCTCAACCCCCCCCCCCCACACACACCCCCCGACACCCACGCACACACGTTTTGCGGAGCTGGTGTAAAGGGGGGGGGGGGTGAGCGTACAGCGTGAAGATAACATGAGAGTGGGATAAAAAGAAAATATGTGGGGGGAAAAAAATGAAATTAAGTCTCTTTGAAGGTGATTTTGTGGCGGAAGAGAACATAATGAATCCGGTATTAAAACACATATGTTAAATAAAATTGGAGACTTTGTGCTTGACTGTTAAAGTGAAGTCTGGATAAAAGAGATATGATGGAGCCTAACTCAGTGTTAGTCATCATCCTATTATTCCGCAATGTGAAATTGATGTGTGCGGACAATCCGCGACTCTGGGCAAATGTCCTGAGCTTCCGATGACGCCATTGATAAAACCGATTAATGAAATGAGGTTGTAAACCTCAGATCGCGGATACAGGGAGACACTAGCGGTCATTTTATAATACAGAATGGCCATCAGGCAATCCGACCTGAAGGTAAAAATATTGCCGCGTCTAACGAGGTTAAATACCAAAGAAAGGAAGACATTAAAATGCAGTTTTTAAACTGTACTAACGAGGATCAGACCTGTCGCATGTGAGGACCTCCCTGTTTTTTTTCAATTAGCGATAATTGATCACTGCAAGCGTTAAGGTTGTAGGTTTTTCTTTTATTAATGTTGGAATGACTAAATACCAACTTTGTTGAGTTCGTCTTTTCTATAAATTAAGGAAATGGCTCATTTGGGTTAAGGGAGAGGGGGGGGGGGACACGAAAGTGCATCCCAATGGGATCAAATTTCAATGCATGAATTGAGCCATGCGACATAGACATACCCGAAATGTGCGTTTACCTATTTTTGCACTGAATCTCCGTGTGGCGTTATTTCCATGTGGTCATCGTTTTGTCTGATGAGAGGAACGGTAAGGTGGGTTCTATTCAATGGTGCGCATTTATATTTTCACGATGCCCCCCTCAACACCCTTTGCAACGTGGCTTATGTCGTAAAAATGAGTGTCTCGTCGTGGCACGAAAGGGCGGGTCGCTTGTGACGAAACATTGATTTTCTTTCCTCTCATCTCCAGAGCGACGACTCGTCGGGGATGTTGAAAGGCATGGCCGCGGGGTTCGGCGGCTTCGTCGCCATCATCGTCCTCATCTGCGTCCTTTGGTGCTGCTGCTGCGGTCAGGATGACTCGAACGGTCGCTGCTGCTGCAAGGACAAGGACAAGGACAAGTCGAACCAGGGACCGCCCAAACCGCGGTCCGCGGACAGGGCGAAAGTGGCTCCCTCCCCTCCCCAGTCAGCCAACAGCTGGTCCAGGGCCAGGTAGACGCCAGCGGGTGACCCCCCCCCCTCAGCTGTTATAAGGTCAAGATGATACCTTCTTGACTCCAAAGCAGAAATGCAGTACTTGAACCTCTCGGACCTTATCGTCAGCATTCAAAGGACAATGTTGCTTTGGATAGCGTCAACTTTTAAGGACTAAAAATATTTTGAACAGAATTTAGATGACACATTTCAAAACGGACCACCGATGATTGAAAATTCAAGATGCCACTGGCAGGGGGTCTAGTTCTAAAAATAGAAACATTTGATATGATTTGTTTACTGTTTTTTTTTTTTTTTTTTTTGTGTGGACTTTTTGTAAAGTGAGAAGGTCAGTTTGTGAATAGAGATGTTGGTTGTTGTAAAGTGAGATGGTCAGTCTGTGAATAGAGATGTTGGTTGTTGTAACTTAAACCTGCTTAATTTGTTCTTTTGAGATATGCCTCCGTAATGATGGGTTTGTGTACAAAAATATTATTGCTCATGCAACTATGTAACGATTTGGTAACTGTTAATTTTTTGTCTAATGTTGTTGTTTTTTTAGGTAAGTCAATGATATGTCACGCACTTAGGTGACAAAAATGATCAAATACCACATATTATTTTTCTTTAAATGTTCCCTATCTTTCACGTTATAATATTTTTTTAAATTTTTGCAAGCCTAAAAGTTTTTCTTGGATATGACATTCAGATTTTACTATTCCGGTATTCGTGTTACCAAAGCAGAGGACTCTTGACCAGGCCAGACGACATTGGATCGGACCAGACGACTCTTGACCAGGCCAGACGACATTTGACCGGACCAGACGACATCTGACCAGACCAGACGACATTTGACCGGACCAGACGACGTTTGACCGGACCAGGCGATGTTTTACCAGAGACAACCAGTCGGTTCATGGGGCAATCGATGATTCACCAATGGTACCAGACAATCGAAGAAGCTTCAAACTTTTAAATGTCGATTATAAGGTGCAAGTGTCATAACACAACTGTACTTAAAATTATATTACAAAAGCATCAATTTTAATTGATATCTGCAGTGTAAGCACAGTTGTAACGTTTCTTTGCATTTAAGCACGATATATATAGATATCAACATATATATATATATATATATATATATATATATAT